AATATTGAGCCATGGAAATGCTGGCATAAATTAATACTCTTTTGTAGGGCATTTTCGTTGTTTACGTCTATATTTTTCCTGTTAGTAGTAGCATTGATTTATGTATCTTATATCGTAAGTGTATGCGCATTCCTTATTTAATACGGTTTGTGTGAAAAGAACTGTCTTTTGAAATGTTTTAGCTTTGTGCTTACCACCAGACACATTGTATATGTAAATTGTGAATTTTAGTGCTTTAAAAGGGCTTTTAAAAGTGGAAGAATAGCCTATGGCAAAGCTTCGCCCTAATAAAGACCTATTAAAATTATTATTATCATTAAAGCTGAGACGCCCTCTAATGGAGCAGTTTTGCATAGAAGTAAATCATCCGAAATCGACTTATTTTGAGTAAAAGTACGTGGCACTTCTATGTCCGCGGAATATTGGGACATTCTGTATAGTTAGATATAGCATCAAATATGAGACACTAACTTTTTCAAAGTAGATTCCTAATTATTGCGGAGAGGACAAATACAGCTGTGACAAATTCTCATAGAAGACGCTACGGTATCTCATTTCATCTCGGATAATTTTTCGGATGCGCGAATATAGTATTAGGTTAGCTATCTTCAGATAGAATCCGTTAGTCAATGATAACACCCAAAAACTATCTACTGTAAACTATAAAACTATAGAAAGTCTTCCTTTTTATTAATAACAACTTATAAATAACCTGTCGGACACACCTAATAGATATATTATACTTCATTGGCGGCATTCGGTACCTAATGATTTTTTCAGACAGCAAATATCACTGATTTTATACACATGCAGACCAATACAAGCAATCATCCAGATATGATCTTGCTATTAAACCAACTTTCTTCTCAGAGATGAAAATTTTAGACTACTCGGCTTCACAAAACATATGCAACCAACAATGCGTGTAGTTGAGCTATTCCTCCGTAGATGGACGCTCACAACGACCCTAGTGAGCAAACGTGGAATGACTGTTTGCACCCTAAAAACTACCTAGTCTGCAAGATGACACTTTATAAATTTTACCGTTGCCGCGCTATATCAAAATGGATGCAGAATTTCCGAAATCACGAACGTAACAAAAGTCGACTGACGAACAGAAAACGTAGTATTACTATCGTAATGCACACATCACAAAACGGTGTATTTAAAAGTTTTGTATTTTCACATGGTTACCTTATATTTTATAGATTTATCGATTATGTAAAATCCAAATCCAGCCCTGTGTCGTCGTAGCTTTCTTGGTAAATTGGGTAACATTTTCTCTCTCACCGCGGGGGTGCAGAACTGACTAAGTGCTCGAATTACCTTATTTGCACACGATATACTTCCTACAGGATATCGTCTACTTCGAAAAAGCGACCTACTTTCTGAGTGAGCAAACTTGATTAAAAGTACATCAGACGTTCTTTTGCAAAACATATCCGGAGAACTGAATAGGGTACTGCAAATGATGAAATCGAGAGATAAGGCATATAATAAGTACAAACAGAATAAATCGGTAGGCAAGTGGGTTTTCTATAAAGAAATGTGCAATGAAGTTGCGAAGGCTATCAATAGGGAGAAAAAAGCCTATATGGAATTCATTCAGTCAAAAAAAGATTCTAAAGCTACTTGGAGCTGTCTTAGGAGACTTAGCATTATCAGCAGCAACTTAAAAGAGTTACCTGGCCATCTGCAGGACGTTAATGACATAAATAAGTATTTTTCTAGTTTACCTACCATTGTTAAGTCTGAGTTACAAATGAAACTGCTGGAAAAATATAACACCAGTCCGCAAGCCAGACAATTCACATTCTCCCAAATAACTTACCACGATGTTATGGGATTTTTCCGGGGTATCAAAGGTAATGCCTTGGGTGTTGAATCAACCTAAATATGCTAACAATCATATTCGATTTGCTAATTGAAAACTTCCCCAACTGTTGGAAAAAAGCAAATGTGCTCCCCCCAGCTAAAATAAGTAACCCTACAGATATTTCCCATCTGAGGCCGATAAATTTACTACCAGCATTTTCCAAGTTATTAGAACTAGCCATGAAACATTAGGTATCTGACTACGTCTTCTCTAATGGTACCATTCCTGAAATCCAATCGGGTTTCAGGAAAAACCACAGCACAACAACAATTCTGACTAACATCACGGATGACTTAACCAGATGTGTAGATCGAGGAAATTTAGCATGCTCAGTGTTACTTGATTATACAAAGGCTTTTGATACTCTGGAACCATCTATTCTTATGAAAAAGCTTATACCGTATACTTTGGTTTTTCGGAATCTGCAATTAATTTTGTATCAAGTTATTTCACTGCCAGAAGTCAGATGGTTGTGATTGGGTCAAGTATCTCGGAGGAGATACCAGTTAAACTAGGGGTACCACAGGGTTCCATTCTGGGACCATTATTGTTCTCAATTTACATTTCTGACTTCCACGAGTACGTTGAACACTGCAGTATTCATCACTATGCTGACGACGCTCAATTGTACTTTGGTTTTGATATTAAAGATTTAAAAAATGCCGAACATTTAATTAATAATGACTCAATAAATTCATCTAACGTATAATATCAAAATTAACCCGCAGTTGTATTTGGTCCAAAAATCAAAAAAAGTCAAGCAAAACTATTACTATCATTGAGCATTATAGATCAACCGATCCCTATAAAAAATGAGTACAAGAATTTAGGACTCTGGATTGATTCTGATTTGAGGTTTGAAATACGCGTTAGTCAACTGTGCCGAACATCATTCGGTGTCTTGAAGAAATTATTTCCTCATAGGAAACGTATGAATACTGGTCTCAAGCTGAAGTTATGCGAAACCTTAATATGGTCTAGAATTCACTACTGTGACTGTATTTATGGACCTGCACTAAGACCGATTGAGATAAGGAGAGTTCAGACTATTCAAAATGCGTGTCTCAGATTTGTTTGTGGACTGGGAAAATTTGAGACAGTGTCACATAAATATCGTGAGCTGGGTGTTCAAAAAATAGAAGAGCTACAAAAAATGCACGTATTGACCTTGACCCATAAGGTAATCACAACATAAGCCCCTCCATATCTATCAACCAAATTTATCAGATACTCAGATGTTAATCAACTGAACACAAAGAATAAGCATATCTTGGTTATCCCGAGACATTCAACATCTCTATTTAAAAGGGTATATACTGCTATCAAGCTATACAACGCGTTGCCTACCGAGTTCACTCACTACTCTATAAAGAATTTCAAAAAAAGATTGAAGCATTTTATCTCTGATTGCATTGCCCAGAAAGTAGACCATGGCTATGAATAGGGACTCGTTACAGGTTTTTTTAACTTTTTTGTTTTTATTGGGATTAGAAAATGTACATAAATATTTGTTGGGTTAAGTTGAAAAATGCTTTTTAACGACACTTCGCCTTTTTAAACTTTGTATAAATAAAGCCGGATTATTATTATATTATAGTATGTGTAATATGAAATGTGGTACATACTGTTTAAAAAATGACAATTTGATCATTGGTTGTTGAGTAATAAGCAATTTGAGAAATGCTCACTTTATATTCAAGGGTTATGAAATATTCTACATTCTACTTGAAGCTACTAAATATAGCAAATACGAAAGACCTTTCCAGATTTTGAAATTCGATCCAGTAGCGGGAAAAAACTGAAAAAATAAAAACCGCAGTTTAGGATAATGCAGATAATCATTTCGAGAATTTCTCCAAAGAGGTACAAAATTGGGGGTCGTGAAGGTGGTATTAGAAAAAGCTGCTAAAAAGATTCCGATCCTGGTGATATTACGCACCTGTTAGACTTAATTTCCAAACAGGTGAAACTTGTTTGAGTTGTCGAATTTTATGATATATCGTATTTAAGTGGAGATTTTTCTTGCCACATTTATGCCACAATATAGTATTCATCCACCAATTTCATTACCCAGAATCACAGCTTCCTAACTTGACCTGTTCAAAAAATAAATTTCTTGAGTCAATCCTTACAATTCTTTAAAAGCTTTCAAAATAGGCTCCTTCTGCGTCGATGCAGCGCTGCCAGTGCGATTTCCAAGCATTGAAAGCGTCACGGAAGGCATTCTCCGGTATAGCCTTGAGAGCCGCGGTGCATGCTGCTTGGACCCCCTCTGTCGTCTCAAAATGCTTGCCTTTCATCGGCCTTTTCAGGCGAGAAAACAAAACAAAGTCCGGGGGGGCGGCACATCTGGGCTGTAGGGCGGCTGCGGAAGCGTTGGGATGCCGGCCTTGGTCAGGTAGCTGTTCACAAGAAAGGCGGTGTGAGCCGGGGCGTTGTCGTGGTGCAACTTCCAGTCGGCTGCGATGTCTTGTCGGACCCGACTGACCCTTCGTTTGAGTCTCCTGAGCACTTCCACCTAAAACTTGGCGTTGAAGGTTTGTCCAGGAGGAACAAATTCATGGTGGACGATGCCTTTGATGTCAAAAAAGACAATTCCAACGAATTCGAATGCGATACAGAATATAAATGTGGAGAAGTGAGATAAAATATCAGTTAAATAAAAATAGGAAAAATGATAGTGAATAGGATACACCGTTGCCGAGATTCTTGGCCTAAAAAACGGATGGTCAATTCTCATACTACTAATATTATGCGACCTGCCGTAAGCTTCAAACAGTACAGTTAATATATAGGGTGCTTTATTTTATAAATAAACAAAAATAGGAACTCATTTAACAAAAAAAAACAAATATAAATAAAAAATAGCCACTTACATAGATAAGATTTAAATATAAGATAAAATATCTTGGCAGTACATATAAAAATAAAAAATCACATTTAAGAAAAATACAGACAAATAACAAATAAAAAACTTTTCATATATAAAATATTAAAAAATAAGAAAAAACATCTCACTTTACATGCAAAAATGAAATAAAATATTCTTCTTGAAAAACAACGTATATATCACCAATGCTTTGGTAACATGATTTGACTAAGAAAATATTATAATTATTAGATTTCAAAGAACTGAATTAAGGAATAGAATCATATCTAAATTGTCTGGTAACAATCTACTTCTACTGTCATTGGTAATTTGGCCCGATTTTGAAAAAATTCTTTCACTTGGAACCGAACTAGCTGGTACACACAAGTATTTTTTATGGAGCTCATATAGTTCTGGCATCATATGCTTGTGCTCTTCCCAAAATAACAGTGGATCTGCGCTCCTTTCAATGTGAGGCAATTCTAAATAGTGTCTTACACACAGAGTGGCCATTATGCTTGGTTTAGTTTTTGACTTTATAGCAACTTCTGCGAGTTTACTGTCAAAATGCGCCCATAGTGATAAATTTCCCTGTTTTTGCAAGGGAGCCCTATCATTTCCTGCTTGTGTTAGGTTGAGTTGGGTCGCATTTTCCGTTTTAGTTGCAATCATGCTTGCAACCTCATCTGTAATCCATGCCTGGACATTTCTGGCATTCTCTTCCAATCCAAAAGCTGTTTTTTTGAACCGTGGATCGAGAAAAGTGCTTTTTGCTATAATTTTATTTGATTCTAAAATGCTAAAACGTCTCGAAATCACATCTAATAGTTTACTCTGCAGCCACAAACCAATATCTGTCGCAGGTTGAATATTTCGCAAATGAAATTGTAATCCTCGAATCAGTGGAATCACCGAGGATATTGTTAAATATTGTTCACCCGAAAGTTCGACTGTTAACAATTCGAGGGGCTTCAGAATTGGTACAATGTCAGATATTATGACCCATTCTGATGCCTCTATTGGTTCGGGGGCAGAGGGCAGGTTCGTGAGTGCTATTATCAGTGGATCCTTAATCTCCAACAACCTTTCTATCATAATTAGCACCGAGTTCCACCTTGTGTCAACCGCTTGTTTTACTTTGAGTATAGAGCAATTCATTTGTTCTTGACATTTTTTCAGAGTAGCGGTAGCAAGTCCGCTATGTTTAAAATGGGCTACTATATTTTTGCACTTTATGATGAGCCTATTTAGGTCATCATTACCATTTAGGGCTTCTTTTGTAGATAAATTCAGTGTATGCGCTAAGCAGGGATGGTGGTGAAAACGTGAAATTGTTCAGTAATTGCATTTTTTATGTTTGCTCCATTGTCTGAAACTACTGTTACAACTTTATTTGAGAGCTCCCATTTGTTGATTGAACTGATTAAATCGTCAGCAATATTTTTTCCGGTATGACTAGCATGACTCAATGCCTAGGATTTTTTATTGTAGCTTTGAATTATTAATAAAATGACATGACTGCCATATGTCTGTCGTGAGTGAGATATATCTCACATTGCTCAGAACTATTCTCAGCTGTGTAACTGCCGAGGAATACGTATTTGACAAAATATTGTTTGTCAAGACGTATCTACTCGGCACTGTGTATAAAGGATTCATTTTTTTTTTTGAATAATCTAAAAAATCAAAGTCTTCCACTATAGATAGTGGCTGGTAATCTTTTACTATCATTTTTAATAAGCTTAAATCTATTTCTTTTTTTGTGCCTCTGGTAGTTCCTTCATATTTGTTCCACCATAAAGCTTCAACTGGCGCTTTCTTTTCACATTTCGAGGCGGATCTGGATCCGGAATATTAGTCACTTTTGATCCAGATGCTTCTGCCACACCTGGTTGCCTGATATTTGACAGATCCAATAAAGGAGCACTGACGCTATGGGTACTAGAGCTACCCAAATTATCAATAACAGTTTCAACTTGCCTAGGATTTGGGGACTCACCTCCTGTTGGTAAATTAACACCACTCTCATCTACGTCTCTGGAAATTGTATTTTCTTTCGAGAGCTCTTCATTGTATTGAATAATGTGTTTTCGATTTAAGTGCTGCTTCAAATTACTGGTGCCGGCAAAGTACTTCAATTGTTGTTGACATAATTTGCATACGGCAAACTTTTTGTCTTGGGTTTTTTGAAAAAATGTCCACACTATAGATTTTATTGCAGGAGCCATCTTCTGGATTGAAATTTTCTTTGCCGAATCAGTGAGAATACAAATGATCTATTCTTACAGAAAGTTATCTGCGAATCCTATACCATGCCTTAGTTGAAACCCATATAATATACGGCATCACAGCCTGGGGTGCCGCCTGCAAGACATATATTTCTGACCTGAATATAGCACAAAAAACTGTTTTGAAAGCCATTTTCCATAAGCCAAGATTATATCCAACGAACAACTTATATCAAGAAACAGGGATACTTGATACAAGACAACTTTATTTCTTACATGCCACCACCTTATACCATAAGTATTGTAATAAAAAGAAAAAATCCTATAAACACGAGCATAACACACGATTTCGAATAGGCTCATCTAATATCCAAAGACCACACAAAACATTATTCAAAAAATCATTTAAATTCTTAGCAGCTAAATTATATAATGTAGTACCAAACGAAATAAAGATACTTAATTTTGGAAAAAAAATTAGAAGAAAATTGAAAGACTGGGTTAGTAATGTGCAGCGAATGACTATACATAATTATATAGAAAACTAAAACTACAAAACTCCAATTACATTAATACCTTTTAGATTTAACAATAATTGTTATACACATATATGATTGATTGTTAGTTATTAAGATATAAACCACATACAGGCGATGCCTTCTGTGGTTTTTTCATATTTATTTGCCCATTCTTTGTATTTTGGCGAATAAATATTATTATTATTATTATTATTATTATTATATCAACCTGAATTAAATCAAATGATATCCGCAACCAGTCAACCACAGCAGTATCGCATCAACTTTGCATCGGGTGACTCCCCGGTTCGTTTTCGTTCGTCAGTGGTCGGTGACTCGGTTCGGTGTTGCTGTTGCCTTGCCGCCTTGATACGAATGAATTCATTCATATTAATCATCCGAGTATTTTAGTATGCCGATTCTGTATAACCGGGTATCTGAATCATCCGAGTATTTACATCACTAGTTAGCTAGGAACGCCCTCTACCGAATCCAGACGATGCGCGCCCGCTCCGAAGTACAGTCATGGCGGAAGAAAATGAGTCCTGTTACTTTCCGGACAAACCCTGTATATTTTTGTTGTTTGGATAAAACTGTTAGATAGTACAGATGAAACGTCAGTAGAGTTTTTCAACCAGTATCCGTGATTTTATTTCATATTTACTAACGAGGGCGAACATGATGCTTTGGATTATGATCTTTGGTTGGTACGAAATGCTGAGTCAACCGACTCTTCTTCTCAGAGCTAATAAACACATTCAATCTGAATAGTATGATGAATGTTTGATCCCTGAGGGCACCAGAAACACGACTAACGCCTTTTATCTGATATGTAACGCTAGTTTTAATAGTGAACAAGTCATGAACAGATTTTTCCAAGGCTAGCACGCACAATTATAGGTGAAAAAAAAATAGCAAGTGCCTGTTTGACACTTAACATGGTTATCTTGAGAGCGATCTGCAACATTTACGGTTCATTAACCCAGGTAACAAACCATGATTGAATACGGTTTCAAAAGCGAACGACATAAATGGCGCTAAAAAAGGAAACTTGCCGACAATAAGGAATCGCTAGATTTCTTCGGATCGGTATTTACTAGTATGATAGGCCGTAAGTGGTATAACATGTTTCAATGGGCTCATCATCAGGTACAAATCTCGACTAAAGATTGGCAGTGTTCACAAGATTATCTTATACAGGGTGTTCCAGAAAGACGTGCCAATATTTATAGGGTACAGAGTACACTTAAAAATAACTAAATAGTTCCTATAAATATGGGTCCAAAGATGCTCTCCTACCGAGATAGAGGGTGATGCAGTTTCATTTGTGAAATAAACAAAAATATCTAAGGAGCGGGTAAAGATACTGAGCTCGAATTTTAGACGTTTAGTAAGCACACTATTATAGTTTCCCGGCCCAAGCTAAACACATAGAAAATGGGGCACTTGTTACCCTAATAGGAAATATTTCCTACGCCACTGGCTTTTGCGGAGGAAAGAAGTGCATTCTACAAAAACCATCAAATTTGCCATCGATTTTATGTCTTAAGAAATTTTTGTCAGCCTCCCCTATTCTGAAAACACCGTGAAGCCTGATATTGCAAAAACTATATGACATGTAAAGAAAGCTATTACAACATTAACTGAATAATACGTGTGTCTCATCCTCAATCAGTAGCGCAGAAGCGTACCATTGATTGAACCTAAAATCACTACTATACTACAACTATTTAAAGCTGTAATGACTCATACGCGTGATCAACACGTGATCAGAGCTCGATCCCGGCTTCCTTCCAGTAAAGCCGTATAGCGTACGACATATGTCGTTTCTGTGGCTTTGCGGTGGTCAACAGCACAGACAGAGATGGAAATAATGACTGATTGTTCTCCGCCGGTAGAACCAATGAAATCAAAGACGCGCCTCGACTGGCAGACTCATAGGCGTCGGCAACGCATTGGAACGTGTTTCGTTGAGCGATCGCATATTGTGTGTTTTTATAAGAATTGTTGTGTGATTGTTATTGTTGTGGTTTCTGTGGTTACTGTTTTGGTTATACTTAACCATGGAGAGTACAAATGGCACGAGTGGAAGTACTGAAAGCCAGGGAACAAGTAGACGGCTTCGTAAAGCACTGAAAAGGTACGCGAAAGAAATCGTGCTCAACGTGTTCAATTATCTGAACAGAACTATGTCGCAGGGAGATGCACTCGCGCGTTGTGAAAGTATGACAGGCGTTCCAGAGTGGACCATTCGCAGGGTGGTGCATGAAAAGAAGAAAACTGGAGCTACTACTGATCCAAAGTTTAATTTGAAGAGACGAAAGGCCGTTAAATTGGATGACGATAGCAAAATGGCGTTAAGGCGAACCGTACATTCATTCTTCTTTAGGAATGAGATACCAACCCTCAAGGCTGTACATGCAGCGATCAAGGAAAATGAAATTATACCCCAAATGAGCGTCGAGGTAATGAGGAAATCCCTGCACGAAATTAATTTTCGTTACGAAACGCGTAATCGGAAGTCAGTATTGATAGAGAGACCTGAAATAGTCGCCTGGCGTCGAAAATACCTACGCGAAATGATTGAATATAGGCGACAAAGCAGAAAACATAGTGAGTAACCGACAAGCAAGCATTGAAGGTTTGTCAACAGGTCTTCGTGGACCGTCAGGGAAAGATCAAAGATTGATCGTAACTCATATTGGTAGCGATAGTGGCTTTTTAGAAGAGTGTGACTTGATTTTCGTCTCTAAGAAAGGAGGTGATTACCATGACGAAATGAATGCCAGCTGCTTCGAGAGCTGGTTTCAAGGGGTGCTTCTGCGAGTTGAGCCCAACTCTGTGATCGTCATGGATAATGCTTCCTACCATAGTCGTCGAGCCGAACGTGTACCGACTATGGGATCTCGAAAAAGTGACATGCAGCAATGGTTGCGCGAAAAAGGAATCCCGTTTGACGATTCATATGTGAAAGCGGAATTGTATGAAAAAATTAAACAGCACAAACCTGCGAACATTAGTTACGTGACTGATGAGATGGCCCGTCAATGTGGTGTCACTGTGCTGCGGTTACCGCCCTACCACTGTAAACTGAACCCAATAGAGCTCATCTGGGCTCAAGTGAAGGGTTATATTGCGCGCCATAACACAACCTTCAAATTACCAGACGTTAAGGTTTTACTTGAGACTTCCATACAGCTAGTAACTGACATCATAGAGCCAGTTATAGTCAATTTCAACGAGGAAAGCGATAGCTACAGGTTATTACTGTCAGATGTAAGTGGAAGCGACGATGAATAAAGGTAATTCCCAAATTTTTGACTTACAATATGTTTCAAACCACTCTTTATTAAGCATGTGACAAATCTAGTTCACCCATGTTTACAGTTTTAGATAGTTATAGTATAGTAAT